TCCTCATGCCGAATAAATCCCCCCCCCCCCCCAGGAATCAGACTTTGACTTGCTGAATCATTTTCTTTTTATAGTCGGCTAGAATCTCACTTATATATTTTGCTCCGAAGTGAACTAAGAAGAAACAGGCGCTTGGGATTGGAAGTAGCCATCGCGAAGAAACTATTTGGGAATTTTTTTTTATATTTGGAGGAAATGGTCTTTGTGAACCTTAATGTGCTTCTTGTTCTGGTCTTGTCCTCTGTCGTCCACCATTGTGCGGTTTTCAAGTTTTGCCACTTGGCCATTCTGCATGAAATCCAGTGAGATTTACGTTATCTTTGATCTGAATATATATATTTTGCTGTGGAGATCTTAAAAAAAATTTCCTGTGATGTCCAGTTTCAGAAATAAAGTTGAATTACGGAGAAAAGAGTTTTTAATAGTTTCCTTGAATGCTCGACGTGAATGGACGTTTTGCATGAGACACAATTCTTCCCAGTTGTTCATGCCAGCAGACGACGAGGGTGACAGAGGAGCCCTGAATGACGTCGCACGCTCTTTGACAGCCGGGGATAACCTTAAATAGGTCCGAAAGAAATCTACATCGATGTACTCCCTGGTGGCCGTGGGGGTAAAGCGTCGGAGCATGTCGTGTTCCCGTGTTTGACGTGATCAACTTGCACCTGAAAGACGAGGGTTCGAAACCCTACCCAGTAACTTCTCTTTTCCCCGGGACAATTTCGGCAGATAAAGGAGCAGCCCGGGCGTAAAGTAACGTTAAGGGGACTTGTTTGGCAAAAAGAGCCCGGGCTGGAAAGTAATCGTAATCGTAAAGGTAAATGTAAACCCGGTGTGGGAGGGAGAGGGGTAGGGGCCCGATCGTCTGCGGTTGACCCCACGGCCAATACCAGGGAGGGGTTTTTGCATCTCCTCACTTTCATCTTTTGTCTCCATGTGTGTCCTATCTTACCAGTTTCTCCTTCAGTAATTAGAAGATTCAATTGTTACTCATGGCATAAATCTTTTATTACAGTATTAAATAATTTAATTCCAACTGCACCACTGGAGCTCTGATTGGAATTGAGACCAAAAATAAAAATATACAAATAAGACTTTTATTTCTCTGCTACTTTTGCAGATGGCAGCACAAGGAATCATGAACTGCCATCAACTGTGGTTTCTTGCAATTTTGATGAATTCAGTGGCACCATTGCAACCCTTTACAAACCAGAGCCAAAACAAATGCACATGAACATATTGGACATAAAATGGACAGAATGGGTCTGGAGAGATGCTCATGTATATGAGCACTTCTTCCCTGGAAAACAGCTGGTCTTCCCCTTCAAAGACATCTTGGAAAACAGCAGGAACTGAAGTGTGTGCAGTAAAATGCTCCTTGATTCCCATTCCAAGATCTGGAAGATGTCAAATTGTCCAAACTTGCATGAGTCTTTCACACATGAATAAGTATATGCAAAAAGAATTTGAACAATCATCAGGT